TCGGAAATCGTAAATTTTTCAGGTAAAACGTTTGACACAAACTTAACTTAAATTTTGACGACAAATCTGAAAATGAATGAAAAAAGGGGCGGTTCTATTTAAAAAACCAAAGTTGGTAACTACCACACGTTTATGATACACCCCGTATATTGGAAAGTAATTTTAAAATGTGGACCTTTTAAACATGAAACACTTTCGTAGGACGTATTTTCTTGTAAAGTTCATATTTACTGAGATATCGCACTTTGACGCACTAATGAGCAACCCTGTATATAAATAAATAATCTTTATTTCCTACAGAAAAAGGCTATCGACCCAATCGGTCTTTCTGCCCTTGTTTAGTACATATGTCTTAGTCTAGCTTATTCTAAAATTAATTTCTATTCCTAACACTCGTATAAATTTTGGATTATTTAGTACGAAAAATGTGATTCAATACTCGGTTTTCAGTTTCCAATTTTGATGCAAATAGTTACCGACGATTGCGAAAACAATTGTATTTTTATTAAATATTTAATCTCGTATCGATTTTATACCAAATGTTTCCGGACTTTTTTGACTAAAATTAAATTTCCTATGCATGGATTTCATCCGCACCTTTAAGCCAGATCCACCCAGTACATAGTAACAATAATAAATCCCTTACGCAATTGGAAAGTTTTTAACGACTTTGAAAAAGATTGATTTTACGATCTCACTCGTACAGTTTTATCAATTTGCGCTTTCAAACTCCGAAGGAAGGAGTCGAATGGGTTGCAGTCAGGAAAATCTGCAGAAAGCATACGTTTTTTGCATAAATATTGCAGGTACTTTCATGAAATTTGATTAGTGGTAATGTAGACAGTAACATTATCAGTTTTGTAAATCTCTTAGTGTATCAATGACACAACATATTAGTCGCAATTTACCAATATTTTCACTAAATATAAATCGCAGGAAAAAAACATCAACAAAATACTTATGTCCTTTTCAAAAGTATTGGAAATATTAGACTTGGGAAATAAGCACTATAACCAGGAAGTAATCCCGATCATTACGGAGAGTTTGGGGTGTAATTAAATAAAGCACAAGTGTTGATAACGCGTTAACGCAGCTTATCTAGACTATACGAAAAATCTTATTAGAGCGTTTAAGACGCTTTTTTGACTTATTCTCACAAAAGGTGCTTTTTGATTTGAGGGACTGAGGGATTTTAGATCTAGCGATCCAACCGGCCACTTGGACTGGCTTTACGACAAATCCGCTTTACCCGGACTAGTAATGTCCAAATAATTGATAACTGACATTAATGAAAATGTGAAATCTATGATTTCTCATTTAATTTATTATTTAACTCAATTTAGATCATCGGATTGCAAATTAGTATTTTTCCCTTTAAAACAAATTAATCTCCTTGAACCGTGCAGGAGCTATCGGCGATTTAATTTAATGTGTCAGCTTAATTTACCCAAGACCTAATACAAATGCTGGAAATATGTCGTTAGTTGTCCCCAACTAGAGTCTTGGAGCCATTCAACTAGAATCAAGTAAAACAGAATTGCGAATTATTTTCTCATAAAAGTGCTCGGGGTATGTTGGCTCAGGGATAAGTGGGGAAGCTGAAAAGGGATCGAGAGGATATCAGCTTCCGCTTGTTTATGGTTCGATGCATATCTGTAAAAGTACTTTTCTAATAGGGTTATTAGTGGGTTGCGCATGAATAACTGTATAAATAATTACTCCATATTGGGGAAAAGTGAGTTAAATTTTACATTTTTGTCAATGCGAGTATCCAGAATAATTGATGGAAATCGATAAAGACGCTTCGTGACCCATTATATATGTTACTATGAATTTTTATTTCAAAAGAACACTGAACTTAAAGGTTGATTTCAATATTAATATTGCTGGTGAAGTATTATGCCATCAGATTATGAGTTTATTCTATTTTGCCTCAATTCTTCCTATATTGTTCCCTTTATGGCATTTATTGCTTGCACTTATGCTGTACGTAAAGACGATTGAATTTGTTAAGAAGTCAGATAAATAGAAAATAAACTATTTATAAGGGCTTTTGTGTTAATTTGTTGTTTTGTTTCAGGTAAGTACTCCCTATTCCCGTAGTGCTGATATCTTGATCAATCGATAAAATGTGAGTATTAAGGGCAATTTTCGTTTTGTTAAGTAAAACATAATAAAACATGTTAGCTGAAAGTGCAAACAATCCAATTATGGAGTTAACTACTCCAATTATGATATTTTATATAACGGTCATGTACTTTGTATATATAAATGTATCACATGGCTTGATATGTATTTTGGTTTTATTACATAAAAGTGGTAACTTATGGCCGAATAAAAATATGCCGTTATCCCTGGATCAGTCAACCAAAGACCGAAACCAACGATATTTAGCTTGGGACTAAAATAGTATTTTGCTCAATTAATTGCATTTTGTGATGGATTTACCTCAATGACTACTTTAAAAAAGGAAACTGACCTATGTGAATATAAATTTAGTTACCCGATCTATAAACTTGTCTAAACAAAGTATACTGTGTACCAGCTTGTTCCAATAAATTTTCGGTTTTATTAGGGTCATAATTTCAGTCTACTTTACAATCTATTGTCTTCTCAAACTTTAATTAAAAATATATGTTCAGTAGGTACATTAAAGAACGTAGCCATTATCGTCTTAAGTGCATTAAGATGATGGAAATATATAAAATGCTTGTTTCCCATTAACTACTCATTGCCCTGAATACTAGTTTAACTTATTGCGAGTTTGTTAAAGTTCTAGTATAATTTATAACTTATTTGATCGCTTTATTTATGGTTGAGAAGCAAAGTTGATCTAATACTCGTTGCAAAACATATCAAGTTCCTTACCGTTATTTACATATATCTTTTTTCCCCGTTTTTTTGCAAACCGATGTAAATTACGGAGTTATAATAATATGCTTGTACATAATTAGCATGTACAGGCAGTTCTTTTCCTTCAATAAATCTTTCATTAGTAGTTTGTTAATCGATAAAATAAGTCATTTAATTGAATATTAAAGAAACGCAGTGAACGGCTACACATTAAAAAAATATGTAATAAATATTTTGTGTTGTGGGCTTTAGGATATTGTAAATAATTGCAGTGATATAATTAAAGTCAACGATACGTCGGTAAATTTATGGAAATTAACACATTACACTCAGCTGGGCTCCAACTATATCGGCGATTAACATGAATACCGCATAATTTTACTCGAATTACCTCAATCTACAACTTTCTTCTAAGTGATTTTCGTGTTTATGACGTGCATTTATTTTCGTAAAAATTACTACGAAACGATATCATGTTTGGAGATTTTATTCCACACTAGATGGGTTTGAATTTGGATAGCTAATAATTAAACTAATTGTCACTCAATTTGGTAAAAGATGAAATGTTGGGAGGGCTTTTGGGGTTTACTAAGGTACAGAAAAATTGTAGGAAAAATTACTAAAGTATTAATAGTTGAAGATGTAAGTTATGATTGTAATTTCGCATCAGTTTACTTAAATTATTTTAATATTTGATTCGAAAATTACTCTATTGATTAAATGTTTTAGCATCAAAGATTAAATTGCTCAATTTTAATAAATGCTTATTGAAGAAACTAAGGAAAAACTTCCTAAAATTACTCAACTGCCAATAACTCAAATGGAGTTAAAGTGCTTTGCTTGTATTTACTGCCAACCTAAATAAAACTCCCAACTTTCTTTCCCAGACTTTGATTGGATATCTAAAGTTATCTAAGCGACAATGCATGTACCTACCTTCCAACATTGACGATTATATGTATGCTTCTCCCTTGAATGAAGCGATTTA